TAAAATGTAGTTTGATTTTAGCTTCAACTTAATTTTGTTTGTGCATTACGGTGATTGCCAGCCCATGGGTTCTCATTACCAGTGACCTCCTCCGGGCAGAAATGTCCATAATGTCATTCAAAATAATTTCATTAGCACATTTCCAACACTTACAGTTTAAAGCAGCAAGGCACTTAAAGCATTCTCATTAAATAACTGTAATGGAAAGTATCCATAAAATCATTTAATGTGAGAATTACTGTGGTAGTTTTAACATATTCCTCTAAAATCGTCTGTCGTACTGTAATGCCTGAGCAATCATGAAGTTTGCAGATGGATTGTTTTTACAATTTATTCAGTTTAATACAGCTCTAGAAATAGAGGTAAAAAAGCAGGAACATCTGATTTTGCTGACTGCTTATAAACTCATGAGTTAGAGCATTCTTAATTTGTAAAATATTATTTCATGAATCACCCCAGTTAATCTTCAGAGATAAGTTTTCAGGCTTTACATGTTGTTCAAAATGTTCTCTTATCACGGAGTTCAAAAGTTTCCTCTTTACCATATAAAAATACAATACACACATAAATCCAGTGGGAACTCCACCAAACAAAAATGACTCGAATGGAGTGGTGAAATGGCTATCAAGTCAAATGCCAGGAGCCATGTGTTTGCTTCCCAGGCTCAGATTGGCAGATAAAGAAAGAAGATTCAACTTTTTAGAATGGAATCAATTCTAGATGATGAATTTTATCATTCAAAGATATGTGTGGATTTAGAGACATATGATCAGTATGATTGTTGGGAATGTCAATGTGGTTACTGATATATACCTCTCCTATTTGCTTTGCTTGGGATGTTAGGAGTTGCCTTGGAAAAGGTATTGATTGTTTAATGATAATGATGAACTTGCAATTGATGTAGCACCTCATCACATTGTCGAAACATTTCAAGGGATTTACTACAAAATGTGGTGGTTGTGCAATGTTCCACGAACAGCCATGGAATGAATGATTAATTAGTTGATCGGGATACCAGGAAAAACTCTCTTCTCTTTTCAAATAGTGCCAAGAATCTTTAACATCATATAGATGGACTTCACTTTAACATCTCATCCCAAAGACCTTACTTCCAACAATGCAGCGTTCTCACAACAGTGCATTGGATTGTCAGGCTAGATTATGAGTAAGAATTCTGATGTGGGTTTAGGTCTTGAACCCTCAAAATTCTGACGCAGAAGCAACAGTGCTACCAACTGAGCCAAACTGACTAGTTTTAGACTGAAGGAAAGGCAATAATAATAATAATAATAATAATAATCCTTGCATTTGATATAGCGCTTTTCACGTCGGAAGGACGTCCCAAAGCGCTTCACAGAACACACTGTAAAGTGAATTGACTGTATATTTGTGGGCGAACGCGGCAGCCAATTGCGCACAGCAATGTCCCACAAACAGTCGTAGATTGAAAATGACCAATTTGTTATTGTTTTTGGTTTTGGAGGATTATTATTAGGCGTTTATGGAGTACTTCATTGCAAATTAATAATAGCACAAGCTTCAGACTGAAGAATATGAATACTGATACTGCAGGTCCTAATAAGCGGGACTGATGTCGGGATACATTTGTGATAGTTAATTTATCTGAACTATTTATTAAATGGCAACTATCCTGGTAATCATCTGTCATCTGACCTTGTTTATCTCAGCACTCACTTGACTCCATTTTTATCTTGAAAATTGATGTATCAACTGGAACTCTGTATATTAAGTTACCAGCACTTGGTGTCAACAGTTTCTGTGCAAATATCTCCTGTCTCTTATGTAACAGCAGCTAATATTCCACCAAATGACAATATTCACCTTAAAGACCTTTTAATGGAAATGCGTTACTGAGGATTACCAGCCCGGAGGAAAGGCATATTCCGTGAAGTACGCAACTTCTTAGGTTTCCAGAGCTGTGTCATCAAACTTGCTCTCTAACGTCGCTCAATGTTATAAGGACAGGACTAATATGAGGAAATGTGAGCAACTACAATTTAGTTCAATTTAATCGAACTAATAATAATAATCCTTGCATTTAATATAGCACCTCATCACATGTTTGAGACATCTCAAAGCGCTTCACAGAATATACTGTTGAATAGTGAATTGACTATATTTGTGGGTGAAATGAGGCAGCCAATTGCACACAGCAGTGTCCCACAAGCAGTCGTGGATTGAAATGACCAATTTATTATTATTTTTTTTGAAGGAATTATTACCCCCAGAAAAACGATCCGCCAATCGACTAACAACCAGGTTCCTACTTAATGCTAGATAAACAGAGGCATGTGAAGTAAGGTAATTTGCCCAACATTTCACCCTGCCAGGAATCGAACCCAGGTCTCCCGCTTGGAAGGCGAGCGATCTAACCACTGAGCTACAGGACTCTAGGTGTTTTAGTTTACCAGCACAGTATGTGTTGCTTGTTTCACAGAAGATAGTGTTATAGTTGCACCTTTTACCTAGAAATAAATGTCAAAATCCATGTATTGCAATCATTGTGAGCTAAGTGTTATTCCCCGTCATTCAGTAACCTTCACAACATTGTCCTTCTGTTCTTTTAAGTAAAGCGAATTTAAAATTACAGTATAATTTCCATCTTAAAGTTACGAACATTGCAGTACATTACTGCTGCTGGCAGAGCACACTTATGAGGAGGAAATGTCTGCCTGGTGCTAATGTGAGTTTTTGAGTTTAAAGTGTTGTAGAAAATTGAGCAGCAGCACTTGATGGGAATGATCTCATGTTTCTGTATGTGGAGGAGGACAGAGAGGACACTGCACTTGGGATTGATTTTGGGGACCAGACTTTGTCCCATGCAATGTGGATACACTAGAGCTACCAGCAATGGTAGTGCATGATATGCCAACTGATGGCCTGTGAGGATAATAGTGTGCTGTCCTAGAGAGAGTTCTGCTGTGGCACTCCATGTTTGCCAGCTTTCTAAATACAGTACAATTTTTCCAGCCTTAAACAGTACCTCAGACCTTGATCCATCAATTCTCTTTAAATATGGTTCTCTATAAAGCACTTTGAGATGTCTCAAAGACAAGGTAAGACTCTATATCAAATGCCAGGATTATTATTTTATTTATTATTCAATAACATTATTGTTTTACTTTCACAAACACAAAAAAAAGTCATGCACAGCTTTTCTCAAACAAAATACATTTGTCGAATACTATTTTACAATGTCAATGGGATTAAAAAATTATATTTGCAAAACTTTAAATCGAGTTGCAAATTGCGAATTTTGGTATGCAATTATTTGATGGTAGGATTCTCAAAATGATGAATGCTGAGTCCAAATCAGGTAAAGTATAACAAAACCTGTGATGAGAAATCAATATTTATCAAACTTTGATGGTTTGGGATTTGGGATTCTCCGTTATGCGAATTTCACAAATCAATATTTCCAAAACAGGTTCCCTTGTCAGCCACGTCTCCCAGATGCAAATGTCACATTGTCAGCTTCGATGTCCATTTAACATCTAGAGAGAGACAGACGGAGACAAAAGCAGCCAAGAAGGATTAGTTCAGTTCAAGTCTAAAGCAGTGCATTGCAAAACAAAGCTACTAAACCACAGCACAGCTTTCCACCAGATATAAACAAAATAATTTTGCAGCATGTGACTTCAGGATCTTCCAAACCCACTGAACACCCATAGGTGATTTCATGGTATATTTTTGCTGTTGTACTGATGGTCACTTGAGTTAGTCATTGTCAGTACTAATGCTAATAGGACTAATTTTTCATTGGGTTAGGTTGAAATCTCGGTGAGTTGGAATTGTATGTCTTCAAGAAACAGACGACAGAATTGACAAATTCTGGACTTTTACAAAAATGACAGATTCAGATTTGAGTTTGCGCTCAGCTCAAATGCCGCTTCATTCAATTAGTCACTCATTCTCATTAACATCCAGATTAAAGCTGAATTATTTTATGAAAAATGAGTTTTAATTTTTTTTCGCTCTGTTTGACAAGATAGAAGGATCAGAAGAGCTGTATGCCATTTTCACCATGGCAATGTCAGGTCAAATTTGTGTTATTGTGAGTTATATTTGCAAATCAATGAAAAAAGATTGAAAATGTTTTATGCAGTACCCCTTTTAAATAGCCACTTACTTGAAAATGCAAATATTTTGATGCTGTAACCTTGGAGCCTGAACTCCTGAGACAATAGATTAAATTGTATTAAAACACGGAAAGTGAGGCTATTTTTAGAGTGTATCAAAAGGTAGCAATTAAGGCTCAATTCACAAAATGACTGCTTTGTTATGTGTTTCCCTACAATCCCGACCACACTTGCTATTCCCAGCATGTCTAACATTTACAGGGTATTGTACAAATTTGGTTTCTTGTAGTGTTAGTGGGAACCTGGCATTAACTCAATATTTGTAGCAATTTAAGAGCGGATGCAATATCACATAATGAGCTGGGGGTAACACTTACACAGACAAGAAAACCTTAGCCATATTTCTGCGAATTATGTAGTTTTTTTCAGCCAGCAAAACAAAATATTGATTAACAGTTTTGAGACATTCTTATCTACCTGCAGTAATCTTGCTTTTTTAAAAAAAACACGTCATTTTTGACCACGGATTTCTATTGTTTTATATCCTTTTTTTGTAAGATACTTTTAACGTTAACCAATTTTCTGTCAAGGTGATGATGTAAATGAAACATTAATACACCATTCACATATTTTAAAGGTCATTTGGATATGTTCATTGCATAAAATAAGTGATCCCTTTGGAGGTGCGTTGTTATAGAATCGTTAACAGAAGAACAGATGACTTTAACTGCATAACAGAACATAGGTCTTTGAGAATTGAGCCAGAAGCAAGATAAATATCTTCTATTAGCTATCTTAAATCTTTACTCCTACATGGACTGTAATTTATGGTAAATCATAATCCACAGTGAAGTGAAGCACTCAAGAGTTATTAACACACACTTGTTTTCACTCTTGCAGAACTATGGATTAGAGACAGAGAACCTCAGAACACTTTCCCACAAGCTGAATGCCTCAGCCAAAAACTTACAGAATTTTATAACGGGTAGACGGAGGAGTGGCCACTACGATGGCAGGGCCTCTAGAAGGCTCCCCAATGACTTCCTTACCTCTGTGGTTGACCTTATTGGTGCTGCCAAGAGCTTATTGGCCTGGCTAGACAGGTATGCTGCAGTATTATTCTTGTCTCACAACAGCTGTTATATGTCTGTCCATCTGTTTGAATATATGTGTGCTCAATGTTTTTGTATGTTCTATGAAGAGCAAATTATCCTCCCATCTTGAAAGGCGCTGTACCAAATGTAAGGATTATTGTGTTGGTGCAAAACTATGAACCATCCACATGACAACTTGTTTTTACTGTATTCTTGGTGTAGAATTAATCTGCGTTCAGTTTGAGATGCCTGGATAATAAATATGGTAAACAATGTGCTCCTCAAGGAGCACATGCAATATTGGATTTTTTTTATACCTTTTGCATTAATGTAGAGAGCTCCCAGATCACGTACAACAAACAGTAGTTAGATATGGGTAAAGCACTTTCAACCCTATAACATTAATATTGAGTCCAGCCTCAGAAAAGCAGCCATGATCCCAGGTGTCATTTTGATTTCCCAACTCGCTCACCTCTGGCCTATTCAGCGACATTGCCAAATTAATGTCTTCTAATACCAATGTGAGCCCATTTTTAATAAGTGTGTTGCTCACCAACATTCTTGCTCAAATTATTTCTTTAGGATGCGCACGTCAGTCTGAACTAGATTGGAACCAATTCCTGAAGGTGTAGGGAAACTGCTGGAACCAAATACAACATATTTTTTAAAACATAAATGAAAACAACATTATTTGAATCATGCCTCTTTAATACATTTTATTAATGATGTATGTACTAAATTATGAATGTATAATCACATAAGAATTACCGTGATTATTGGCTTAAATTTGTTCCAAAAAGCTGACTGCTGCATTGAAATGTTTCATTGACTGTTGGAAAAAATTGTTACATCCTAAAGAAAGAAAGCTGATTTCCTTAAATCTGGTGCATTAAGCAGAATGAGAATCACTCTGTGCACATCCTGTGTATTAGCAACTGTCATTAGCAGATGATGATCAAAACATCAGAGAGGAATGCAGTCTTTTTTCCTCTTTGTTCTAATATGTTAACATTAGATAAAAGGCTTCTCTATTGCTTTTAAATGCAGCCTCATTTTTCCACATGGGACATTGACCTTCGGGGAAAGAAAAAGATTTCCCATTTCCAGTCAACATTTCCAGCTGAATCTAATAACATGAGAAATCTCTAACCAATTCTAACCTAACTAAATACAATGTGTACTGCAGGTTAAAGGACTCGTTATCGAGATGAGTTCATTATCACAAGCTTGTCACGTCTGATAGGATCATAATATAAAACATGACATTTATAATTTCTCTCGCCTTTGAAACATTTTACTCCATAACCAAATCTTCTCAGAATATGTGGTATGATGTTAAAGTCAGGTTCATACATGCTGCACACAATCAACCAACACTGCACTCACAAGAACTATAGGTTTGTTAATGCCTGTGTTAGTTTATGTCACTTATTGCACAAAAAAAGAATTTCTAATAATTACGTTTGACTGATTAATATGTTTTGTTCTCATGGACTGTTGAATAGACATGTATGAAAATTGTTATTCTTGTGTTGGGTGTAGCATGTTTTAGGATAATTAATGTTCATGTAAAGCTTAGTACAGTACTGAGCTATACATTCTCTCAAAGTTCTGGTCTGCAGTATTCAGTGTAATCATCCTTTCACAGCCTAATTGAATCATATGTACTTGTTTTCAAGCTGAACCAACAGTTTGGGTGAACATAACATATGACATCCGGTTATACTTCTGCCAGTGTGAAAAGGGACGTTTGTTTCAGCTGCTTGAATCGATTATGACACTGGTGACACCACTTACAAATTGTCAAGCGGATTAATTAAAGAAACACAAAGTTGAATTGTTTTCCAAGTTTCTATTTTAAGATGAATTATATTCTGATGTTCTGGATGAAATGCCACACAGAAATTCTAATTGAGTAACAGAAAAGAATACACATTGAGGACTGGCATTTTACCCACAGTAAAAATTTGAATCACACTCTTACGTACTGCATCTGATGCTTGTGATTCATATAACCCATGCTCTCTGAGCTTTATTTTACATATATGTATCCCTTGTTTACTTCTTAACGTGGTTGTGTTTTGCCTGCAATTAAGAAAGTGAGACTACATAATGTAGTTGTTGTGATCAGTCCACAGTCCATGTTGAGGACTTCAATTTATAATCTTACATAAACATGTTCCCACTTTAGGTCTCCATTTGTCAGTGTGACAGAATATTCACTTCTGAAAAACAACATTGTTCAGCTGTGCCTGGAACTAACAACCATTGTGCAACAGGTAAGCAACTTGTTAAACTGTCAACCAACTATTATTATTCGATCATCAGATTTAAATCAAGTGCTTTTGTTCTCTCTATTCCACTCTCTCTTTAATATCACCCCTTCCCCCCAAAATGTTTTTTTAACAGTAATCTGAAAGTCTTGTTCGACTTTTGGATTTGGAAAGTTTGTTTGTGGTTTTGGCAATTTCAGATAGATTCGATTACAGGACACGCTCGAGTCAAAAGATATCAATCACACATGTGCTTGATTTGATTGAAGAATCCAACAAACAGCACATTCGGGAAGAGTCAATTAGTGAACCTTGGATGCAGTCTCATTCATGTAATGTGCTTTGTCTGCCTTTAAAAGTAAAGTGGGATACCTTTTTAACCACTGAAATCGACTTGTCCAAAACTTAAGAAATGGAAAAGGTTAGGAAGAAAGATCCGAACTGACAGAAGGGATAAGATGTACGTGTATCTTATATCTGCACTTCATGGCCAATTATTTTGATTGTTAAGAAATACTTTTGATGCTACCACTGCATTCAACCATAAGTGATTTGGAATCCAGTCAGAAACATTTATTCAGACACTGGATTAGTTCTCCTTGAATCACAAAAATGCGAGAATGATCAGAAAGGACATTTTTATTTAGAGCAATCTATTCTGGATACTGCAATTCACGATATAATTTAAATATTGATTTTGCGGTTTTATTTTGTAAGTGATATCTAATTTCGAATTTGTTTGATTGCATTTTACAAAGGAATCTTTAATGTTCCTCTATTGCTCTGTGGCTAATCTTCTTAAAGATGTTAACTGACTGCTCTGTATAGCACTATGACATCCAGCCATTGTGCAGTCAACACCACAGGGCTTTATGGAACCAGTAAAGTGATAATAAATTGCTGTGCATTTATGCTTTGGCATGGAAAGCTTAGAAGGTCCTTATTCATATGTAGCATGTGCTGCACTGCCAAGAGATCATTAATGTTCACAAATTATATTTCCTTTTGACAAGCACAACATCAGTTTACCTTTCTCCCTTAAGCTACTGAATACCAATAGCACAACACAACAAACTGTTTATACAACACCTCGTTTTCTTGATTTTTGCACAATATTCTGTGAACTGTCAAAAATGTTTTGCAACATTTTTCTGCTCGTGATGTTTTGAATAGTGCATTCTCTCAGTTCACTTGTGCAAACATGCTTGCCAAATTACTGGATCTAGATTTGCTTTTTCCTCAAATGAGCAGTTTAATTTGTCAAAATAACTCATTCTGATCAAGTCTTTTAAAATGCTTGTGAACATTTGGTCTGGCTACGCATGGACCTCACTGAATTACGTGCATACTGAGATAAATATAGTTTGATTGAATTAACTGGGTCACTCAATATTTCACAGGGAAGACTATCTTCTTTATTCCTTTTTTGTTGCAACAGTCATTTTCTGAAACCTTTCTTTGCAAATTTATCGTGACTCAAACAATTATTCACATTGAAAGTCACATCTGATTTCAATATTATATTATGAAAAGACATGTTCCTTCTGGATGTAAGAATGTAATGAATGAAGAGATTGGTCACGTTATTTACAATAATTATGAAAGAGCCAGTGCTGGGGTTGAATGAATTTCAATTAAGAAGATCCTTTCAGTAGGCGCTGCAAGCATATTACAGTCTTCTCTGAACTGGCTGCAAATCTCACAAGATAACTCCAACAGCATTTCTATCGCCTAATGTGCGATGCACCAAGATCACAGGGCATAGACCTTCATTCAGTGAAATTCAAAGCAAGAACAGGGGATGCTCACCTTTGGCTTTGATCTTATTTTCTTTGATGATGTGGCGTAAATGGATTTACACAGCGGCAGTGGCATTAGTTTCAAGGCTCTGCATGGTGTAAAACATGATTCCCTCGAAAACTGAAATGGAAAAGAAATATCTTTTTCTGTTCATTTTCCAATGCAATATAAGATATCTATAACTGAGTATGGTTTAGAGCACTAGTAGTACGTAAGGTTAAATACTCAATATTTGCTCCAGTTTAGAACTTGCATTTTCAACATAAACAATTCTGTTTATTATTTATTAAACACTCCCTCCCTTGCCTCCTGCAAGGTGCGTCTCAAAACCCTCCTCTTTGACCAAGCATTCGGCCACCCTCCCTGCCCTCCACCCTCCCTGATCCCGACCCCAAGCTCGGGTCCAAATCCCTGACTGTCCAGCACCTTGTGACATCCTCCCGATGTGTAAGGCGCTATACAAATGTAATATTTATAAACAAGTGATAATTCTGCAACTGAAAGTTTAATTTCTTGACATAAGGTGAACTCCTAAAATATTATAGGCAGGATTCAGCAGTTGTGTAGTATTAAGTTTGTTTGTGTGTTGAAAGAATATTTTCTTAACCCATTTTTTTCTGAGTTATGAATGACAGTTTTTTTTAATGTTTCTAATGAAAGTGTGAGGGTATGAAGATCACACTGAACCATCACTGCCAACAGGATTTAATAACAATTGGGTGAGCTTCAGCTTTAATGGGTGTCTGTTTTGCTCAGCAAAAGCAAATGCTCACCTGACCAAATGAAACAGCTGGAAGATGAAGAAGAAAATGCAGAACTTTGAAAGCTTTCAAGAGAAAAACGACCCATGTAACAAAAATAAATATAGATTTCTGAAGCTACATCTGCAGTATAATGAAGAACAGAGCTACAGATAAGTTTGGAACTTTCCAGTAAATTAAACTGGAAAAGCAAACAGAATTGTGTCGTATGGTCTGATACATGCAAATGACTTCTTTTTTTAAAAAGAAATCTATTTAAATAAAATCGAAGCAGAGCGCAGGCACTATTCTTACATCGTCAAACTATGTGAAATTAAACAAAACCAACCCCAAAAGGTTCTCAGTAAATGATAAAGCCAGTATTGGTACTGAGACTCCCATGGTGCTTTTGTATTGAGGCAAAAAACAACTCAAAAAAATAGAAGGCTAAGATTATGGATCTTGGCAAGCATTGTATAAGAATTAAACTACAAGTCATAGTGAACACTCTATTTCATCCTTTCATTTTTTTAATTTTAAAACATTTTATGAAATACCGATACTTGCTACTGTTATTTTGTTGTTTAAGTTTTGCATCTTAGAAATACTTACTGAAACTTGAATAAAACTTTTGTGAAGCAATATGCCACAACAGAACTGACTAATACCATTTAAATCATTGTAGAAACCTAACTGCTGATGCCAACAAATTAATTGGCTTATAATTTATCAAGTTGCTTTTCTCAATTTGATTTTGTCTCCTTATATTTATACTGTTATTGATTTCCACGTCATTAACTAGACAATAATGGTCTGTGCTTAGGAGCTGTAAACTCTTCAGTAGCATCATCTGCTATGATAGTGGAATAAGAATGGTGACCTAATATCCCCTTTTCTTGCAGGATTGCACAGTTTATGAAACTGAAAATAAGATTCTACATGTGGTGAGTTCTTTAACTTTTGCCATGCTTTTATAATAAGCCTCAGCTTAGAATTGCTTCTTCCTATTTTGCATCTGATGAAGGGAGGGGTATCCCAAAGTGACAGAATTCAAAACCTCTTGTTGGTACAAAAAGTATTATCAGCAGAGAGACAAGACCTCCAGGATTGTCCTTCGAGGAACAAACACAATACGTTGGCCACTCAGTGTAGAACATTTCCATTTATGTATACTTGAATGAACTAACATAAAGACTAGCACGGTCATTACAAGAAAGAGTTTTGAGTCATTTTGAAATTCTCCCAACATGAGAACATAAAAGAAGTTGTCATCTTATGGAATCCAAATCAGCATTAGATCAAAGTTCAAACACACAGTGGATTGAATTCAATTCAATTCAACTCCATTGCTAAAATTAAATTCACTCTGTACCCTTAGCTCTTAGTCCTCAGCCAGTATATGCCATATCTAATATAACAAATTGGAGTTCAACAGAAACTGTGTTGCAAAATAGTACTTGCGAACATCGGAGATGAAAATTAAACCACTTCGATTGGCAATTGGCGGTGAGAATTTTTGACTGCTGCCTTGCACTGGAAGATATGTTCAGCTCTGAGTTTTAAGGTTATTGGATAATTGTCCACTGAACGTTGAGAATTAAACCAATTATACCTTGACTGTGTATGGTTCAGGTCAACCTGACATTTAAGTGAGTAGTTTAAAACCTAGTGATCATTTCCTGAGTATCAAATTGTGNTTTTTTCTCTGTAAACTCCTTTATGTTTACTATTTGTACCCTTGTGGTGGAAACTGACAGATACAATTTAACAGGTATCAGGCACCAGAGATCTGGTAACCCTCAGATATGAGCTTGGATTTAAATTTCAGAATTTCCATTCATCCCAATGTACTGTCCCTTCAAGTTCTGAAATGCAGCTTCATAATTTACAAGAAGCAGTTTTTTTTTACAAAGCTAAGTTCTGGTTTGAGTATGTTAATGTTACACTCCTCCCAAGTTATGTTTATATAAAGTGCGAATGCCACAGTTTAATATTGAATAACAAGTCAATGTAAAATTCTATTTATAAGACCTTGATTGTAAAATCACAGCAATGAAGAAGTTCTATTGTATTTCTTAAGGCACAAAACTATAAATATATTCCTTAAAGTTCATTTTTCCCCAGTTGAATGATTAATTCAGTAGTTACCAATAGATTCTACTTGGCTGCAGTACATATCTCCTCTTGAGGCTGGTTATAAGCCACTTGCGACTTGTTTATTTGTCAGCTGTCAAGTCAGACTTACTAGTGGACCTATTTATCTTGCCACTGTTGGCTTTAACCATCGCATGTATTATTTTCTACCTTGTCTGTGTAAGAGTCTAGTGTACTCGTTGGTGAAGAAAAATCATTGATTTTGTTCCTTTTTGAACGAAAAAAGACTCCTTCAAGTCCTGCCTCAAAACCCTCCTCTTCGACCATGCCATTGGTCACTTCCCCTCCCTTCCTTTCTCCCTCCCGACCCCAGCTTGGATCTGAAATGCTGTACACTGTCCAGCTCCTTGGACGTCCTCTCGACGTGAAAGGCCCTATACAAATGTAATCTTGTTGTTCTGGTTGTGTTTTCATTCATGGGGTTCCTCTATGGATCCTGTAAAAAGCTGGTCAGTTGTAAAGTGCTCAGTTAATATTACTTCAAATTAACTGTGAACAAGCTTTTTATTTAAAGTTTTCACTAAATACTCACTGAACAAACGGCATGATTTTATTGGCCATCATTCCCATTTATTTTTATTTCAATGTTGTACTTTAAAAAAGAAGTAATGTGGTTGTTAGTATGCCAGTGTGTGTCTCTCTAAGCTACCACTATTAAAAGAAAATTCCTAAATCAAGACTTTCTTGAAATTAACTACACAATTAAAATCTAGCTGCAAAAAAAGCTGTTGTCATTCTCAGAGGGTTTTCACACCATCTGTCTATATAGACAGGTTGGAGATAGTCCCAGAAATAGTTATTAGGGAAGAGCCTCACGTACAGCATTAAGAATCTCTCTAGTTATTTTTAAGTGTTTTACTGTTGCCATGAAATTGACTGACTGTATGTGAAAGACCCAAAGTCCCACCCTATTTACATAGCTTACCATTGACAAAGAACCAAGTCATTACTCCCGTATATTGTTGACAAAGCTTTGATGGTTTGTTGCCTTCACAACTGAAAATTTAGCTGCTGAAATACCTGTCAGTAAGTTACAAAACTGACAGGATTCATATCCATGTATTATCTACTTTGATTTGGGAAGAATTTCCAAACAAGTTCTTAGTGAGTTTTCATTTATCTGTAAATTGCTGCAATTTTACACTCCATGTAAATCTCAAAGACAATTGACAGGTTCCTCATTAAAGCACAAAATGTGGATGACACCCTTCACCCATTCAAAGACCCACAAATTAAATGAAGATTGAATGTAATAGCCCAAAGTGTGACTGTCTAAGAGAGTGGAGTTTTCCCATTTGTATTTCCTCTAAGAACAAAAAGAATACACTCACTGCCAGAAACAGGAAGCGGTAAAGAGGCTGTCAAATGGAAACTGGGCATCAGTAAAATGCAACTATGTTTTTGGTGCAATTTACACATCATTTGCTCAAGATATGTGGCATTGTTTTTTTTTGCTCTGCTTAATTTCAAATAAAAATGAGCCCCTGTATTCCGTAGGACTGTCAGATCCTGTCACTGGGAATGGTTGCACCTTCTCTATTTTATGGTGGTGTAAAATTAAAAGAAGAACATATTTGGAGTCCTTTTCTGAAAAAAATCACCTTCAGTGGAATGGCCCCCTTTCATACCTTGCTAACACTATTGAAAACAATATCACTACCAACAATAAAGCAATTCAGAGCAGGTAGCCTGATTTATGCTTTTTGTTTTACAAAAGAGCCGATTGTCTTTGAGAAGTTTTAAACTGTTCTTTAGAACTTATTGGGCTGTCCGAGAACTTTAAAGGAGCATTTCTGACCAGAGCTGAAATCAATTCATACCCTTTGGATTTACACATCAATATTTTGATTGATATATACTAGTGTGTTACTTTCCAGTGTGTAGGAAGCTTGGAAGGAACAAGGGCAAAAAGACCAGAGGAGCAGTTACCATTGCATTATTGATAAAATAGTGCAAGGAAAGAAAGGTTCCAATGGAAAGAGAGAATAAGAGATTGAAGTCTCGAGATGAAATCAATATTGCACATCCATTAGTGAAGATAAATGATATTCTTTTTGACTATATCCAGCTTGAAGTCAGTTAGAGGAAGAATGGTCACATTCTCATGGTGCATGAGAAACTCCTCCAAAGAAAATCCATCCATTTCTAAAGCAGATGAATTTGGTGTCATTTTTATTTTGCTTTAGATAGTAACATGAGTAGAACACAAGGAATATCGCAGTGATGTGTCAGTCTGCTTCAGATATACATCACTCTTGCCCTTGGATTAAAGGTTATGGATTCAAACCCCACATCAGCTAATAATCTGGTTTTATGCCCCACTGAGTACTGTAACTATTACAGTGCTTTAGATCAGCTATTACCGGAGGTTCAGGCAGACATCAAAGATTCTGCAACACAATAACAAAAAAAGCAGGGAGGTCTGCTGGCATATTAATACTAATAATAATCCTTTCATTTGATATAGTGCCTTATCATGTCATTGAGACGTCTCAAAGAGCTTCACAGGATATACTGTAAAGTGAATTGACTGTATATTGTTCAGTACTCCCCCCTAGCATTCAATGAAAGGATTATTATTATTATTTAGCAGTCACCAAAAACAAGATTAATTAGTCATTTGTCTGAATGTTGCTAGTGAGATATTACTGATTCTGATTAGTTGTGGTGTGTGGCTCCAACACAGCGATCAGTATACTTCGAACAAACTTTTGCATGAAGCACTTTGAGATATATCAACACAAAGCAGATCAATGCAAATATTATTATAATATTGCATTATAATTGGTATATTGCTGGTATCATACCAATAGTGTGCGTTATAGATCATTAAATATATGTTTTGTTATTCAGTGGTCTTTCATTTGAATAATTTATTCAGATATGGGAGCTAGGATTGTTGTCGTTGGATCCATTTCCTTCTTTACTGCACCCCCCCGAGTTGCGTCAGTTAATATTTCAAAAATAGAACATTTGAATAATTTGCCTCCCACAGACATCTAAATTTCGAACTCACTGGCACCATACATATAAATATATTTTTAAATATATGTTTTAAAAAAAGGAACAATTATTATTTTTAAATTGACATTGTGGGAAGGAGCCTGACCTGGCAAGATCCCTCTCAACCCAGTGGTTGGTACTATGGCCACACAAGAACATTCCATTACATTCCTGTAAAATCTAAGGGCCAAATGCCTCAGAAATTTATTCCAGTTCCATGAGACAATGGATCGTTCAATTTCAATTTGGAGCCCTGGCTGATGCCAATGATACAAGAATTCAATCTGCCCTCAGGGAAGATACCCACTTTTCACATCTTCTGGACAACTCAAAGTAATAGTCCAACAAAAATGTAAATATATTTTAATATTTACATTTTTGTAAATAACATGAAATCCTATCCTCTGTGTCCATATTTGTGGTGATATGGAACACTTGTTAGTAAGTTGCAGTTCTTCATAGTTCTGAATTGGTCTTACATGAGTGGCAGTTGGGATTATTTACTCCCCACGCTCTCAGAATGAATTCCATATTCAGTGGGTTATTGGCAAACAGCCTTTCCAGTGTGAGAAAGGTTTATGTTTCATTCTATCTGTGGAGCCTGTGACTGAAAGGTGGTTCACTCTCCCTAGCAGCATGTCTATTTCAATTTATCTATTTCTCCTTGAGCTTCCTAAGTGCTGATTTTGGACACTCTATACCAGTTTAATTACGTGGGGCTCATTCGCAATCCAGACTTGTTAAACGAGCAGAATGTATTTTTTTATTCTGTGGCTGCTGCCTTTTGTGATATCAGCACAGTATGTTTTGATTTTAAAACAATTCCTGTTTCTGAGTCTTCCTAAGTCACCCAGAGGGGCAAACATACAAATCAACGCGAGTACAAATTAAACACTGCACATAAACAGATGGGGGAGTCTTTGCTGACCCCAGGCATCCTAAAATAAATGACAAGGAAGATTCATATAAAATACCAACACATCCAGCGAACATTACTTTAGAAAAGATTTTTCTAGCTTGTACTGAAATGTGAACATTCTCAATTTGCCTTTGATTATTTGCTCTTCGTACATAATTTATAGCAGAACAGAAAAATGCACAATCCCTGGTCAAACTGCAGTAGAGCCTATAATGAGCATTGAATCGACCTCTTCTACAGTGACTGCCTGGATTGTTTTGTTTTCTTCTGAAACAATTTATTTTCAGAATATATCATTTTGAGCTGGATTTATAAAGAAATCATTTTATCATTGGAATTTTAATATAATTTTTTGCTGTTTTTCAGCGCTGCCCTTCATTTTTAAAATTGTGTTTTCTCTGGTTAGAATAATCAATGATACCAAGCATAAAGGTGCCAGGGGCTTATCTGCAGAAAGTGATTTTTTTTCACAGATACAAATGTTAATGCATTTGATGGTTGATGGTGGGAGAAAATCTTTGCAATTCAAGCCCAAATCAATTAGCAATGTTAAGTGTTGGTTTTCACTTTTTTTTGAGTTTCAATACCTTAGTAAATCATTTTGCCTGCACCAGAAATATCTGGCAATCGAATTTATCAAACGATTATTAGCGCAAGAAAACTAAGTCTAGAATAAGATAGTTTGATATGTTCTGTTCCAAGTAATTGGAGAGAGAGAGATGGGTGGATTGGGAGGGAGAAGATTGAAGGAGGAGCTAGCCCATGCTTTGAAATCTTGCCACTCGCACAGGCTTTCCTTTCATCTCCTTACTGAATTGCCATTCTTTATGCTATGAACAATTAGGCGAGGAAAGCATTGCTATGTAGGAAGATGAGCTGCCATGAGGCGACAGTGTACAGGGATAGAATTATCAATGGCAGCAATTTTCTCTCTTCCTCCCAGCTTGTAAGAGCTCACAATTTGCTTGTAGGAACTCTTGTCAGATTTATCTCCTGAATCCACTGTCCTGGTAATGTACAGTACCAGCCAAGGCATAAGACTGTTTGACATTCCTAAATCAGTATTTGGAGAGATGAGAGATTTCTTTTCATTTTTGTTACAAACGCAGGACCAGTTGCCTGTACCGTGAATGTAAATACAGTCAATATTAAAGGTAGACAACAGAAACAAAAGACCTGATATCTCAGCAATGTCAGAGCATGGTGGTTGAGAAACATCCTGTAAGAATTCCATATAATCCTGAAAACAGAAATGCATTGAGAGATTAAGAGATGCATTGATATTTCAGCATAAATAACAGCTAGATGGTGACTGGCAAAAGGCAGAAGTGATGAGAAAACTTCTTGGTAACTTACATTTATCAGTGCTAACAGCTGTCCTGGGCTTTTTGCCTACTCTGTTTTTCAGTGTAAAACATTGTCTGGGATCTGTGATCACATCATCTCACTTTCATCAGACTCCCTGGTGTCACAGTCTGCACATCTTGAAGTCGTCCATCTGACAAACATCATGCCTAGTGAGGGCTTGGTAAGGACAAATTCTTTAAAATATTTGCTATTCATCTTTAATAAACTTAGAATATCTTACCTTCTGGTCAAAGCAGTACAATGAGGAGGTATGTATCTGGAAGGTAGCTTTTGGCAAACTCCACACTCATTGTACAAAACAGGAAATGTACAGCGGATCCATCAATCGATCAATATCTGAAAGAGAAAGATCTACCACAGGAAATTAGTTATTCATTATGTATCTGATCTTTTCATAGGGTATGTACATCAAGTCTACCTATGATGGCCTGCACGTCATCACAGGAACAACAGAAAATGTAAGTGTTACTTCACTTTCTAAAATATCAATTCATCATAAACTAAACCCCACAATAGACTTGCCTAACTTGAAACTTTTACTGAACATCACAACATAAAAGAGGTGGATTTCTGGGAGGAGAAATGTTATTTTGAAGTGATGATTATTTGAATCTTTGAGACACTTGCAAAACTTCCTGCAAATCTGTTTGTACTGCAGCTTTGTAGCAGATGGAAACACATCACTCACAGGACACCATCAGTCCCTTGTGCTGTGCTTGCATTACATGTGATTACAGTATTTCCAAATGACTTAGCTTTTCCACCGGTCTTGTATTCATGGAGGAGCTTCTGCTGGTTTTTGAAACATCTTATTCTTTAGTCAAGTAATATACATCATCCACAACAAAATCAATCCACAAAGTGGATTTGTTTGAACAGCCCCTTGCAGATTTTCGAATGTACATGTTTTCAATCATGTAAACTCTGAGTAAATTAATTTCTGTAAATTATGAGGCTTATTATAAATACCTATGGTTAAATATTATAAACTATAATCAGGTAAAGGGATAGGACAGGATTGAACCGGTTGAGTTCAGATCCAAAGAAGTCATACTCAAGCTATACAGTGATCTCCGTGATACATGGAAGCTTCCCAGAATGTATGGGTGATGCAGAAGATGACAAAGCTTATCTCCATTGCTAGAGGGATCATCTATAGCAAATGGCCAGATAAGCTAGGTTTCTTCAGCCCCGAGGAGACCTTAAATGGGATGGAGGCAGTAAAGCCAGAATAATACTTTTTGCAAACTATAATCAACCGTGGGAACTGGTTACTATTATCGATGGTAGAAACAGCACATCACACACCTTTAGGAAGTAGCTTGGCTTGGATAGAAGTGGCATTTTGAAAAGATGAGATCAAAAGTGCCAAAGGGTATTGTTCATCTGTAATTCTCTTGTATTAATGTGGTGACGTCTCTAATTGCCAAAAATCACGAAAATCTAATCTTACATATTATTGAAATCTTCAATGTGTAACTACAATTTGTATAAAAAGTTATTCGACAGGAGTGTGCAAGAAATAAAATAAAAGTAAATTGAATAAGTAAAGCATACATACACGGTGGGATAACAACAACCTTGTCCTCATCTTCAAAGCCCTCCATGGCCTTGCTCAGCAGGCTCCGCCCTGGTCCAATTCTCCCACCCAGCCCGTCCCACCATCGGAGGTCGGGCCTTCAACTTCTCTTCCCCATCATTTGGAACTCCATCCCACAGTCCCTTCGCCTTCCTCCCTCCCTTGCCTCCTTCAAGGCACATCTCAAGACCCTCCTCTTCGACCATGCCTTCAGCCACCTTCCTGCCCCAACCATCCCTGTCCTCCACCCCTCCTGATCCTAACCCCCTGCTTGGGTCCAAATCTCTGACTGTCTAGCGCCTTGGGACGTCCTCCTGACTCACATCTTCTAGAAGCCTCAAAGCCCTTCACAGAATATACTTTAAAGTGAATTGACTGTATATTTGTGGGCGAAACGCAGCAGCCAAATGAGCACAGCAATGTCCCACAAACAGTTATGGATTGATTGACCAAATTATTATTTTATTTATTTATTTTCTTGAGGGATTATTATCAGGCTTGTGGAGTAAGGAAATTTGCCCAAGGTTTCACCCTGCAAGGCATCGAACCCAGGTCTCTTGCTTGCAGTGCTCTAACCACTGAGCTACAGGACTCCACAAGCATCAAACCACAGCATCAAATACATTGCTGTGCTTTGTAGGATCTTTGGAAATATATTTTTTTCCTTCTTGGGGATGAAATAATGATTGGAACTATTTAAATGAATCAACAGTATTGAGAAAATAAGTTGCTGAATCATACTTCTGTATGGATTTTCATTAAATCTGGAAAAGAATGTCAGCTGTGCATTTCCTATCTGATATTTATTTCCAAAATGGTACATTTATTTATTTGGAAAGGCCATATAAGACACTCAGTCATGGCCATGGTGGTTTAATCTTGATTGTAACCTATAAGGACTCAAAGTGTGTCTCAATAGTTGAACATTGAGGGAAACTGACACTTCCAATCTCACTTTGCAACAAACGGCTAACAATGAAATAGCACTGGGAGTGATGATAACAATGCCAAGGGATTGCACTAGCTCACATTGACAAGGGAAATAAAATTCTCATCAGAAGTCAATTCAATTCTTGCTCTTGGAATTTGCAGTCTCTGCAGAGGAGAGAGCAAGAACCACATGCTCCCTGCACTTATTGTACGTCGATCTTTAGCTCAATTGAAGATTCTTAAAAATGTACGTCAGGATTCTTTAATTACTTTGAAAATCTAATATTACATTGGCATCGGTTGCTGCACGCAATTCAATTGCACCTCATATAAATATCGAAATTTAATTTGATGCCCAGTATCTGTTTGCGAGCATGTTCAGCAAGATTGAAGATACCTGGTGGTAGTCTTCGGATTCTAAAAATATATTTGTGACGATTCTTCTTCCTGATCAAGCTAAGTGACAGTGCTGGGGAAGAGTCACGATGACAAAGCACTCCCAGATTAGGTGATGCATAGCAAGATGCAAGGTTAAAGCTCTCTCTGCACTGCCTCAACACTGTGATTTTGCTCCAACTTCAACGGAACACTCCCGACCAGCATCGATATGGTGGTTTCCATTTCCTTTCACAATGAGATTGCCAATTTATGGCTAGTTGTCTGCTATGAATTCAAGCAATGAAGAGCTGCTTGAAATTGTCCAAACTCATTTCACATAAGACTCTCACAATCACCCAGGAGAGACTTCAAATCCCATCTGTTTGAACTGGATTTGAATGAGATTTCAGGGGTGAAAGGACGCACTCTAATCCAGTCCACCACCAAGTCCACGTAATGTCAGATTAGATGGGACTACAAAAGGACATTGCTTTTATGCATACTGGATAACTGCACAAAGTTGTTCGGTTGCCATATGGATTTTTTTTTTGTTGTGTGCAGTACAACAAAGTTCCTGATTAACATGACCAGTGTCAGGTTCAGAGAACTTATAAAAGTAATTAAATTGGTAGAAAGAGACACACCCAAAACACAGACACGCAGAGAGAGAGCGAGAGAGAAACACACTGATATCCATACTGCTTTACATATTCACAGATTTTGTACTGTTAGTGCAAATGTTGGTCTGTCTACTCTGTATGATTGATACAAGATACTCCACCAACTACAAATTACCAGACAACATTTTTGTTACAAAATGGGCAACAACATATTGATAATTAAAATGATTAAATTGACTCAGCTGAGATTTGCTTGTAACTGATAACCACGGTGACTGAAGGATGCGATGTGTGATTACAGACCTACTGTACTATCGCTTAGCACTATTGCCTAATTAGGAGACTGAAATGTTGCAGAGTTTAACGCAAATATCACTGGCAGAAAAGTGCTAATATGTTGACCGTTGATTAAATGTTCACTGTGACAATCTCACCTACTTCATCTATTTGCCATTTCCACATCTTTCCTGGGATGATGAGCGTGTCAAAACAATCAAATATAACCAAAGATTATATGTCTCCTTCCCGATCAAATTGTCACCTTGATACATTCCCAAAGACTAAATAAAACACACAGCACTCTTGTTTACTAGCAATTTATCCTACATCAACTTTCACGGAGAATCAAAACAGGAATCGGCACTAGAGTTGAGACTAAATATTGGATAATGAGCGGATGCATTCAGAAATAAAGCAAGTGATTGAAGGACACATAAACTGTTTGTGAAAGGGATGATATATTTAGCAAAATGAATGCTTGTGAAAGGGAAGCAGTGGCCAGTTAGATGTACTATACAGGTCACCAAAAGCAATTATTAAAAAATAATTATACATATATATAGTTTTATCAAACACATGTGAGGTAATAAAAATCAGATGTCCTTTATATGATGTAGAGTGGAGTAGTTTGTAATGCTTTTTTTAAAAAAATAGAAAGCCGCCATCACTTATGAGACTGAAGCCACTACACAATTCAAAATCGGGCACCATTATAAAACTTCTTGTTAGTACAATTAATTTGGGGTATCTCAAAAGAGAAGTAACCAGGAGGAGTCAGGCATATATACCCCATAAACTGTGGTGTATTTTAACCTGAAACAGTGTGAAATAGGCACAAAGGCTTAATTGTTCTGAGGAATGACTAATTAATTGCCAATTACCTAAGTGCACATTAATATTTCTGTACTGTATGTGCTTGCTTGTTGGTGGGTCTACAGATGTGAATGTGTGATGTGAGTTAGGGTGCTCTGCTAAACAAAATCTACTAGCCATAAACGATCTGCTTCGAAAGTTGGCTGACAGTGAATTGAAAGCTCCTGGGATATAATGTCTTTACAACAAAATAAATCTATTAGAAGGGGGGGTAAGAGAATCCACTCCAATGCTTCCTATACATTCTCAAGCAACGTGCTTTGGGGTGAAATTAAGCAACAGTTATGGAGTTACCTTGGCAGGAAATGAAACTGCAAAAAAGTATGATGGTGGCCAAATGTTGATAGCAATTATATGAAAATGTTGGCTGATGCATTGCATTTCTTTTCAACTGCCTACACAACAGAATCATATCTTTAGAATTATATAGAACTATATTCATCTAACAACCAAAAATAAATTTAACCTTAATAACAATCTGAAAACTTGGGGAGTTATGATTGTTGGGGTATTAATGCATTTCCCTGTAATTAATTTCCAAACACCGACAGAACCTGACAAGAATATGCCATCTCTGCTGCTAGCTGTGCTTTGAAATACACCAAAAAGATATGCAACAACTAGCAAATCTTCAGCAGCTGTTACACTCTTCAGGACCAGACAGTGCAATGGGTTCAACATGACAGCACTGTCATTCTACTAGGCTTTCTGACTGCGGCAGGACATGATGTTACTCACATTGCAGTGCCAACGACCCATCAGGAGAACCTTGAACCTGTAGAGTGTAAAGTGCTCTCAT